GTATATAGTAGCTGTGGGTAGCCCAGTTTAAATGAGCATTCATTTACACATACTGCCTATTCATTTAAATACTCTATACACTGCTTCATGGAGATGAACTGCCTACAGTTTAGACAGGAACTATGCACCTGTTGATGGCCACACATATGTGATTGCTGAGATACGTATTTCTCCTCCTTTATAACATGGTCTAAACAGTTTGCCACTGGCAGATGTTAGTAAAGGCATTTAAAAATATTTGGTCAAATCTTCATGTTATTATCTAAACCGCCCATCCATGAAAGTATACTTTATTTTATTATTCTTTACAGGTGGACATCCACATATATTGAACATCTGGCAGTTCAATCACATTGTAAGGGAGCAAGGTAGAGCACAGTTATAAATCTGTAAGTTATTGTTGAAATAGAGCCTACTGTCAGCCCTGCTTCTCTAAGAGAAAGGGCTGTGACTCTTATTCTGACGAATAACCTGTGAGATTTAAGGGCACAAGCTTGGCGGCTCTGGGAGAACAGATTTCTACACGGCCAGGACAATGAGCTGCTTCTGAGCAATGAGAAGTGTGTATGCAGTCTCACCGGGGTGCACTGTTTGGGAAGGGAGAATTCTGATGATCCATGCACGCTTGCTTTGGGGACACTTTTTTCAGTTCAGATGTTAAGGTATCCTTTCTGGTATTTTATTGGGCTGTGCGGATCTATCAAACATAGATTAAGTGATATATTTTGGAAGATTCCTAAAAAAGAGGCATTTTCAGCATTTCTTTTTTTGTACTGTAAATTCCTTGTTAATATCTAGAAAATGTTCCTCTTTCACACTCCCATAAATGTTTAGTTTATTGTATAAGTCCTAAAGAGAGGACTCGATCGTGTACTAATGAAGCAAAAAAAAAAACCTGTTAAAGATAAAATTACTGTGACTTTCTCAAAAAGTGTTTCTCATTGCTGCTTCCTTATCTCCCATAGCATGTGTAGTTCTCAGAAGTCATTTGTTACAATCCTAAACCTCCTATTACTCAATTGGTCACACATAAATAACTTGCTCAACATGCCTGAAGCAGAGGTAAGGCTAGGAACATGTTTCTTAAAAGCAAAGCAAGCCAACCTGAATCCCAACAGAATGAGCGTTGATTTCGTTTTGAACACACAGTTATGAAATCTTGAAAATAACTATAAACGAGGAATCAGTATGGGCTCACTTTGAACCCGTGGCGGCCAATAAAACAAATGTCATTCTTTCTTGGAAAATGATGCCTTGTACAGCAGAGAGTCAGTGTCTCTCTGTTAAGTGGCTGAATGGATCTGGCATATGGATTGGAGCAGGAATTTCACATAGACTTTCTGATGTATCTGTGAGACGGAGAAACACGGAGTAGATGCAGGACCATTAGGTGGATTTTTAATTACCCGTTAAAGAATTAAGACCCACTTGGATAGAAGGCTCTAGAATCACCTCTCAGGGCTTTTTCCTTGAATCTGTCCTATGCGGTATTTGACAAAAATGGAGAAGCTGAAGGGGAGAGATACAGGGTAGATGGGACGGTTCAAAGTTGTTTCAGTTTAATAGAAAATGGGCTGAAATCAATATAATAGATATAGAATATTTATTTTCCAGACTTCAAAGGGCACGTGCAGCCTTCATAACAATGATTCTGCCGTGTGCCCCCCACAAGAGATCATCATAGCCTGTGGTTAAACGCTTCCGTGGTACGCAAACCCGCCAGGGGCCTGCCTTGTTCTACTGCGCTTCACTTTATTGCACTTCAAGGATGTTGCATGTTTTACAAATTGAAGGCAAGACTCTATCAGCAGAAAGGTTACGACTTGCTTTCCTGCAAGGTGGTCTGGAGCCCAACCTGCAGGATCTCCAAGGTGCACCCATACTCCCGAGGGAGCCATCCGATGAAGGACAGGTCCAACTAAAAATACAACATTGCGTGTTTAGGTTTAAAAGAAATGAGTTACAGGGACAAGGGATGGACAGGACCTAGTTTTCAGCTTTTTAATTTATTTTTTACTCAGATGACCTAACAGAGTCACCTGTTAAAAAAAACTTAACATTATCTTCGCTTCTATTGAGCAACACCCACTAACAGACCCATTTCCTCCATCTGTGGTGTAGAAAGCTTAAAAAGACACCGTGATAACTTGGAGGGTGTCTAGAAGAATGTGGCTGTGAGCTGAGGCTGCTGGGGGAGTGAAGACGCTCATGGATCATGGTGGTGGTATGAAGGGCCCCGGGACCAGGAGCTGAAAAATACAGCGTGATGGGTTAGCCCAGTCTACCAGAAGGGACTGGGAGCCAAACACCGTTCACTGTAAGAAGCAGTCAACATGGCAAGAGGGGAGAGGTTAAAGGTGTAAACTTGCAACTAGTAGATACATTCCAGAGATCTCATGTGCAGCATGGTGATTACAATCAACAAAAGGTATTGCAAACTTCAAAGGTGCTAAGAGACTACATCTTAATTGTTCTCACTAAAAAAAAAGAAATGACCACCATGGGACATGTTAGAGGTGTTAGCTGGGCCATAGCAGTAATCATAGCATAACATATAAATGTACCAAATCAACACACTGGACATTGTAAACTTACACACTGTTATGTGTCAATTACATCTCAACTGAAAAAACACAAGTTATCAGTCTTGCTATCGTCTCTTCACTGAATTTTAAACCCAAGTGTCTAGTTATCTATGGTATGAAGACTCTGCCCCCCAAAATTTCACCAAACTCGTTTGCAGAAAAATAAGCTCTCTGACACCCAAACTGTTCACAGAGACGTGGGAAAGCGACTGCTGTGTGAGGACGGCACCTTGATCAGGAACCAGACTGGTGCACACAGGAGGTAATGACAGCTGCAGCCACCAGGTGTGAAGATCAAACACACGACGTGTGAGTGCAGAGGTCTGCACAGCAGTGGCTTGATCTCTGTGGGAGATGACACCCAAGGGATCCCTCTAGTTAGGAAGCAAACTGGACTCTGAACCATTTGGACCCTAGGAGCCTACGGTTTCATCTTATTAAGAAGCCAAGCTAATTAACTCCACTTTAGCATTCAAGGCTTATGTTACTTTGAATTATAACGCGTACACCATGTCTGCCCTACTTCCACAGCACGTGGTAAAACTTGTAAGATGCGGTCCTTACAGCTCCGTGGAGTTAGATCTTTTAATAGGGCCAAATTAAACCTTTCCTCTCTGCCACTGCTCACCACTTCAAGAAGTGGAGTAGCGGTGTCCGTGTGAAAATGAGGTTATTACGTATTTTTAGAAAGTACAGGGAAAATAGGAATAACTCAAAATTTATGATGATTCACTGAAAAGAGGTCATTCTTTTCTTTTTTAAACAGAAATGATCCTATAAAAGTAATACGACTCTACCATACTTGCTACTATGAGTTGTGTTCACTATCTCCTGGTAGAATGAAACATGCTTATTCAACTCTCATATCTGTCCTAGTTCTTTGCCTCAATAATGAAGAAATGTATTCAAACCTGGTGCCTAAGAAACAGGACACCTTTCCTGGGGAAGTTCAGAATTCATGGAGAGGGAAGAAACTGGAATTAAGTGGGAAAAGGGATGGGACGGGGGCAGGGAAGAAAAATGGAAGAGGCAGCTTGCAAAATGTGTTGATTATCTTAGAAGTACTACAATTAGAAAGCATTAAAGGAGCAAAAAAGTCAACTCCAGATTCTGTGATGCTTCTCTGACTTGGGCAAGTGCTCTCCTGACACACACAAAACCACGCCCGGCCTCAGTGTGCGGAGTCATGAAGCCGTCTTGCAAGGTAGCTCTGGAAGGGTTCTGATGGAAGAACGTGATGAAATAACAGCGAAGAATGCCAATATAAATGATTTTGCTGCCTCAGCTGGGAAATGGGCAGTATAATGTGGTTATTTTTAATGCCCTGGAGACGGGAGGACTATTTACACAGCGCTATGGAAATAAGTGACACCTGAGGTTTTCAGTTCAACGCAGGTGCTGGAGTCTGAATCCTGCTGAGGACAGTCACTGGACTGGGCTTGTCTGATCTGCAGCCCCTTGCCCCCCAGAATGGGTGTGAATACAGTTCTCTATGAAACCTGTTTCAGTCTCCAGTCAGTTTTCCTAGAAAAGGCAGTAGAATTACGGGGTCCTCCTCCCACCTTCTGTCTTTTCTCAGAGCATCCATCCCGCTGGTAGCACCAGACAGGGTCCAGAAGCCAAGGAAGCCAGGGGATGTCGGTGGAGGGACACACCAGGCAGAGGATGAATGGGGTAGACAAGGGGCTCAGTGAAGAGTCATCAGTTTATTTCCTAGGTGGGTGGGTGGAGAAATGGATGGGTGGTTGATGGGTGGGGGATGGATGGATGGATGGATGGATGGTTGGATGGATGGATAATGACAAAGGTAGTAAATCACCTGTGGTCTCAGTTCTCTTCTCTGTAAACGATGAACACTAAAAATCCTCTCATATACAAAAGAAAAACACCAATGAGAATCAAATGGAATAATGTAGAAATATTTGAAACTCCCTGCAGTGCTATGTATATGCCAATTTCATCATCATCCTCATTATCGTTATTACTATTATTAGTTCCTTTCTCTGGTTACTTGGGGGACGAGATCAAGGGGAGAAATGCATGATCTAAGTGGTGGCTAAAAGGCTGACTTTAAGAGAATAATTTTGTCCAGCTTGTTGCTTGATGGACATGTAAAATCTGATAAACTGGACAATGATTAAGAGGTAATGCTGTGTATGAAAAAAGACCAGCTCGCCATGTGCGTACCATTATAACTTCTAAAGCCATGGAAGAATAACTCCACTGGCTGCTAACATTCACTAAGACTTCAGCCTTTTTCAACTGAGAGAGGAAAATCATTCTGCTCAGAAAGATACTAAACTGAACATGTACCCACAATGACGCCACCTCAGCACGCACACGGCTCCGGAGTGGAGCAGCTGGCCCTTTGGGACTCTCACTGACCCTCGGGTGAGCAGCCCTGCAGCACTGTACCTGTATGTGTCCTCCGGTGAGCCTTCAGGTGGGAACTTTTTGTGTAGACTTTGTTGCATCCCTCAAAATCACATCTGTGAATACGCCGTTTTCTGGAGTCTGGGGATTCAGACCGCCTCTGGCGTCTTGTGCTCTCAATACTAAATGGTGAAATTGAACTGGAAAAAGAAAAAGTGGAGTTAAACAGTGAGACACACAGCTGTCTGGTTTGCTCTAGTGGCATGAGACCTCCGTCTCATGGCCTGTAGCTTTGCACAGATGCAAGGCCCCGGGTCTCCATTTCCCAGACACCTTTCATTCTCAGCTGGGAGGCAGGCAGCCTGGTCTATTTCTGGTGAGCCACTCCTAGGGAGAGAAAGGCAGGCTTAAAATAAAAACGACAAAACAACAAGCAAATGAGAGCAGTGGCAAATGAGTAGATCCTTGTTCACAAATACGAAAGAAGCGGGTGGTGTTAAAATTACACTTCAACATTTTGAACTTCTGGATATACTTACAGAGAACATTCTGGGAAGCCCTGCTATAAATAAGTGACAAAAATGAAAGCATTTAATACGGAACATGAGGGTCTGAATTGCATGTGACAACACAGAAAATTGTGCAAAATCACAAGGTACCTTTCAAAACAAATGAGGTTGGGCTGAACAAAGCAACATCAGTACATCCATTACATGACTCACGACAAGCTATTTCTGTTCGTTAAAATGCACCTGACATTGAACTTTTACAGTTGGTGGTTTTGCATGGGGAGGAATAAAGCTCATTGTCTTTAAAGATTAGCTGTACCACGAATGAGAGAAAGAAGTTTAACTCTGAATTTTGGCCCTGACTTGCACGTTGTTTAATTTTCATGCCACAGCAGAAAAACAGGATTAGTTTGTAATGCCAGGTAATTGATTAACATGCACCTCTTCAAATCTTAATCTCTTTTGATTGAGATAGAAATGAAGCACATGACTCATTTTTTTAGTTATTTATGAAGTTAAAGAAATAACAGCAAAATATAATTAAATACTTCTATCAATATCATACCATACTTCTACTAGAGAAAGTTTACCAGTGTTAATATTTTGACATCTTTTTTTTCAGCTGTTCCATGTTTTGATACTCTTGGTAAGTACTTTGTGCCCTGGCTGGTGTGGCTCAGTGGATTGAGTGCTGGTCTGTGAATCAAAGGGTGGCCCCTTCCATTCCCAGTCAGGGCACACGCCTGGGTTGCAGGCCAGGTTCCCAGTGGGGGCGTCTTGCACAAGAGGCAACTACACATCGATGCTTCTCTCCTTTCTTTCTCCCTCCCTTCCCCTTAAAATAAATACACAAAATCTTTGAAAAAGTTATATGTGAACAAAATTAAGAAAAGTATTTTGTATTAATAATTCACCTGTTAAACAATCCCGAACATTACAGATACGGATCATCTTTCTTTGTCTTTCATAACCACCCTGACCCTTCCTCCTCTCAGGGAAAACTTCTGTCATTGGTTTTCTTTAAATCCTTCCAATTCCTTTAAATTATGCTTATCTACCCATATCTGCATTTACAGAAACTTGTAATGTTGCTTTGTGTTTTTTAAGAGACAAATAATCTACTGTTTACATCATTCTTCAAACTGTCACTCAACACAAGCATCTGAGATCTATCCATGTTTGATACAAACGCTGTAGTCTATTCATCTGAAATGTTATGTATCACAATTAATTGTAAGATGATTTGTTTTCATATTTTAATGTTGCTAAAATTAGGAGTCTTACGATTGATGGCTTGTCATAGTTTAATTGACATACTACTTTTTCTTTATTAGTGGTACGTAAGCTAATGGTGCATTTTACAGTAGATGGTATTTTAACTTAGACCAGAGGTTGGTGCACTTTCTCTTTAAAGGGCTAGATAGTAAATATATTATTTGGAATTTTGAGAGTCAACAGGTAACAAATCATTTAAAGGGCTAGATAGTAAATATATTATTTGGAATTTTGAGAGTCATATAGTCTATAAGGTAACAAATCAACTCTGAAACTGTAGCATGAAAGTAGCTATGGAAAAAATATAAACAAATGAGTGTGTTATATTCCAGTGAAAGATCATTTATGAAATAGTGGGCTGCAACTGGCTGATATCTGACTTAGATGAAATATGGTGATAGTCCAATGAATATTCATCCCAGAGTTTTAAAAACCATTTCCTAAGTGCTGGACATATAAGATGTTCCTTATATTTCATTATAATATTGCTCCCATCAACTTTTAAAAAATGCCTTCTATATATATGTGCCTTTCAAGTTTTCAATGTATCTTTTCATGTGTACAAATAAGGGTTCAGTAGCCAAACCTTTACATTACTAGGTAAGATCAAATGTAAATGATGTTTATCTACTTGAGTTTCAAACAGTTTCATGCAAGACCTCTGTTAGTAGAATGAACAAAACCACATGGAGCATTAAGCCCTGTTTCCTAGCCTTCTTATCAGTCAATGTGGATTTGCAGTTCCCACATAATTGACTCAGCTGCAGGAACTAGAGCCTGTCTCACAAAGACGCAAGACAGTGTCCTAGCCCGCCCACGAAAGAACAGCGTTAGTCAGCCCTGGGAGGGCGCGGTTCTTGTGCACACATGAGACGTGTGTGTGAAAACAGGGAAACAACAATTCATTTCTTGAGTATTCAGACACGACAATAAATATGGATTTTGGCGCTGGGGACCTCAAAAATAGAAACTTTTGTGTTGTGATATGTTTGCTGTCTTCTAAATTATGAAAATGACATGGTATTTGTTTACATACTATGTACATACTAATGTGTAGAAGTCTAAATGTAACTATACATAATCTGTGGTTGATGTTAGCTATTTATTTTGCTGTGCAGTCGGGTATATAGAGAAAAGTGAACAATAAATCTGAAATCAAAACCAAGTAACTACTGAGCAGACCTTTAAGGGACCAACGAAGCAATGCAGCCATAGAGTCCATCAGCCACTGAACCACGTGGCTGGCAGAGGGAGGGAAGCAAAGGCTATGGAATGGCACAGAATTACTTCACTAACGGTTTTTAATTTACATTAAGATAAAGATGTTAGGTGGATGTCTTTAATACCACAAAACTTTGCACCCTTGTTTTCCTCATTTTAAAGATAAATGTTTTAGGACATTATGGAGAAAAACCACTTAAAAAGTTACCAGGGCGATCCAACCAATTTTTTAGAAAGGTGAATGCGATACAGCTATACCCAGCAAAGCTGGCTCTGAAATGGCATTCGATGGGGAAGAGTTCTCTTTGGCTCCCCTTTTTAAATGGCAGAGTCATCCTTGGACGTAAAAGAAACTTCGTCCAGGCTGTACCTTTTAGAACTACTTATCTGACCACTTTGTGGAAAGGCAGGAAGGTAAAGGGGCCGACATAAAAGGGGGTTGAAAGTGCAGAAGAACTTAAAGGCCACAGGGAAGAGGAGAGGACAGTTCAAGTGCACAGAAGGCGGCTGGGGCCCACTGCTGGTTCCCACAGTGGGTGGGCACTGCTGTCAGAAGACAACCACGGGTGGGGAGTTTAGCCAAGCCAGCGCCGTGGCAGAAGACTGACAGTCCAGGTGCTGGCAACAAGCACATTCGTCTCTCTAGAGCCTATTGCGGACATTCAAGAAATGTTTGTTAAACAGGATGAACGAATGAATGAATGGAGGAATGAATGGAGGGCTGTATTAAGACAGGCACTCCTAATTTTTAATTTAATATAATCAATTGATTAACCCCTTTGATTATCTTATTCTTACTAGGATCCTTTGACTACAAATCTTCAGATAATGATTACTCAATTCCTTGCTCTTACTCTTTCTCATTTCCCTAAGTTTTGTATTTTAAATGCTATACAAAATAGTTACTAAATATCAGGGATTGAGAATAACCATTTACACCACATGTACAGAAGAGAGAAAGGGATTCAGAACCTATTTGAAGAAATAATAACAGAAAACTTCCCTAACCTGGTGAAAGAAAGAGACATACAAGTCCAAGAAACACAGACAGTCCCAAACACGATGAACCCAGAGATGCCCACAATAATACACATTAAATTAAAATGCCAAAGGTTAAAGACAAAGAGAGAATCTTAAAACCGGCAAGAGAAAAGCAGTTAGTTACTGCATATGACTTTCAGCTGATTCCTCAACAGAAACCTTGCAGGCTAGAAGGGATTGGCAAGAAATATTCAAAGTGATGAAAAGCAAGGACCTACGACCAAGGTTACTCTACTCAGCAAAGCTATCATTTTGACTCTAAGAACAGATCAGAGTTTCTCAGATATGAAAAAGCTAAAGGAGTTCGTCACCAATAAACCAGTATTCTAAGAAATGTTAAAGAGTCTTCTTTAAGAAAAAGAAGAAAAAAAGGTAAAAAACATGTATAATAAAATGAAAACAAATATGTATCTATCAACAAGTGCTTTAAGTACAAATGGAAATGCTCCAATCAGAAGACACAGGGTGACTGAACGGAGGACAAAACAAGACGCTTACTTATGCTGCCCACAAGTGACTCACTTCAAATCAAAGACACACACAGACCAAAAGTAGAAGGATGGGAACAAGTACTTCACGACACTGGAAACAAACAAACAAAAAAGCTGGGATAGCAATACTTAGACAAATAAAACAAAGGCTCTAACAGGAGACAAAGAGGACCCAGCAATCCCACTTCTGGGTATTCATCTGAAGACATCCAAAACTACATTGAAAAGACATCTGCATCTATATGTTCAATGCAGCAGCATTTACAATAGCCAAGGTATGGATGCAACCTACGTGACTATCAGATGATCAATGGATAAAGAAAAAGCGGTATGTATATACAATGGAATATGACTCAGGCATAAAAAAGAATAAAATCTCACCACCTGTGGCAACGTGCTTGGACCTGGAGGGTATTGTGCTAAATGAGTAAGTCAGTCAGAGAAAGACAAACAGGCTATGATTCCACTCATATGTGGAATTCAAAAAATAAAATAAACAAGCAGAAGAGAAACCAACTCATAAGCACAGGGAACATTTGGACGGTTGCCAGATGGCAGGAGGTTTGGGTGAAAAAGATGAAGGGATTAAAAAGGACAAGCTGGTAGTTACAGAAAGTTGAGAGGGTGTGAAGTACAGCACAGGAGAGCTAATCGACAATATTG